TGGAGGTGAGCATGGTGATTATCAGTGAGGAGGTGACTGCCGTAGTCTGGCAGAGGGCTGCTGCTGCCAGCTTGGACCAGGCTGGTCACAGAGAGCAGAGACAAGTGGTTAAGGCCTGGAAACAAAGACCTAGCACTGATGGATCGGATGAGGAGCCGTGGAAAGAGCCCAGGGCAGGCTGATTTCACTATACCTGTTGGGGCACTTGGTGATGCTGGCTCTGATGAGTTCCCCATGCCAGTCCCCTCCCAGTTAGGTGCGTTCCCTTTCTCTGTCATTTTGCTCTTGCTGCAAGTGCTAAGGCACGGCTGGCAGGGCCCCTCTCTCTTGGTGGACCTCTGGACTTGGGGAGCAGCTTGGAGGCATCTGGCGAGTTAAATGCCACATGACCTTTGTAGACCTGCTCAGCTCAATGGAGTAAGGAGGGGGTTGGGGTTCTGTGCACACCAGGAGCTGCCCCAGCCTCGCTGTGATGCACTTGGATCACAGTGCCCAGGCTCAGTCCTCGGCTTTTCTGGGCAGAGCTGGTGGGACTCAGCAGGGCCTTCTCCCTGGGCCCATCCACTGTTAGCATCCCTGGCCTACACACCGGGTTGCCTGGCCTATCTCAGCTGGCCCCCCTGCTCCTTCCAGGGACAGGCCCAGCCTCTCCCAGGCTGCCCTGAACACACCTTGGCCCCACTGTCCACAACCCTCCCTCCTTTACTACCTGTGACCAAACCTCCCTTTATCCACTCACCGACTTTCAGCTTCCCTCCCCCAATAATCTTTAAGGGGCAGCTGTTGATAGCCCTGCTTCACGGGAAAGGATCAGGGAGCTCTGGGAGGCTGTATTGTCAGGGTTGTTCAGAGAGAATCAGAACCAGTAGGAGAGAGATGGGGGGCGGGGCGTGGTTTCCAACACGTTGGTCACATGGTGATGGAGGTTGTTGAATCTGAAATCTGCAGGGCCCGCAGGCTGGAAATTCTAGTGAAAGCTGATCTCTCAGTCCAGAGGCAGAATTCCTTCCTCCTTGCGGGGACCTCAGTCTCTTCTCTTAAGGCTTTCACCTGACTGGGTGAGGCCCACCCACGTTTATGGAGGGTGACCTACTTTACTCAAGATCTAGTTTCAGTGTTAATAACATCCTTAAAAATACCTTCACAGCAACATCCAGATTGTTGTTTGGCCGAACGACCTGGCACCAGGGCCCTGACCAGTCGACATGGAACATTAACCACCTCGAGGTTAAGTAATTTGCCAAGGGAAATGCACTCGTCAGCACTGATTCAGAATCCGACAAGATCCCATCCTTCTGACTTCAAATCACTGTCAGCATTAACCCAGAAAGTCAGGACAGTGTTGCCTTCTCAGAAGAGGATGCCAGGAGCTTTTAGTTCTTCCCCGGGGAAATCATGTTAAATATTTGAAGTTCTGGCTTCCTGGCACTCCGTCCCTCAGGAAAGGAGTCCAGTTCCAGCATGCGGGTGAGATGGGCCGACCCATCACCCAAGGACTGACCACCAGCCCTTGTTTTATTTCTGTGAGTGTTTGATGTCAGGAGACATTGATCTTATGTCTTTGGCCAGTTTTCTTTGCTTCTTTCCCCGCTGTTGTAAGTAAGGATTTGTCAGCCCAGGTGACACTGTAAAACTCCTCACCTAGAATTAATTTCACCAGGTTGGTGTGCTGTAGATGGTGTGGTCTGTTGCCACTTTCCACAGAAGCAGCTTGTTCGTGAGAAACAGATTTATTTCAGTTCTTCGGAGATTGGTGTCATTTAGAAAATGAATGGACTGCAAGGGGCGCCTGTGGAAAGTGTGTAATTGTGTGATATTTTTAATGAAAAGATCGAATAAAGCATTTTGGAGTGTTTGAGGAAACACTCCCTTGGCATATTTTACAAATAATGTTTTAAGTTGTTTGCTGATTAGATGAATCCATTCAAGTGGGGTTGGCAGCCTGCATCTGCAGGACACCAGCTCTGGGGCCAGGCACCTGGGGGGGAGCCAGGCTCTGCCCCTTGGCAGCCCCTCACCCCAGGCAGGTCACCAGAGCATCTCTGAGTGTCAGAGGCATTGCAGCAAAACAGTACCTCCCTCCCTGGGGCCAAGAGGTTCAGGTGAAGGATGAACTGGAGCCCCCAACCCGGGCAGGGTAGCCACTCAACAACGATGCACCTCCACTCCTGGTCCTCTCTGCCTCCACCTGCTCCATCTCCTCTAACTCCAGAGTCCAAGGCATGGGCACTGGAAACGATGATGGTGGTGACCACTATGGTGATGGTGATGGTGATTGGTGATGATGATGGTGGTGATAATGGTGATTTAGTTTAGAACTTGTTTTGCTTTGGTGAGAGAGCTGACTTCTACAGGGCATATTTTGCAACTGATAAATCGTCCTTCCTCATAAATCTCCAAGTAGGAAGGGATGTCGAAGCCTGACTCTCCTCTTTAACACCTTCAGATGTTTTTCCACTGCTGAGAGATCTCAACAGAATAGTAGGAAAGAGGCTGGGTGGGGCTGATGGAGGTGGCCCGAGGGGGAATTGGAGTGTGGGGACCCGGGGAGGGTCTCAGGGGCCTGTCACACAGGAAGGGGCATGAGAGGCGGCAGCGGACATGGCCGGCTCCCCCAGCCCTGACCCTGACCTTGAGCCTGACGGACTCCCTCCCCCGCTCTGGCTGCAGGTGGGTAAGCTGCGCGAGCGGCTGCAGGAGGCCAAGCTGGAGCGGGAGCAGGAGCAGCGGCGGCACACGGCCTACATCTCGGAGCTCAAGGCCAAG